CGACATATAACAGTGGATTGTCAGCCTTTCTCTGGCAAACATGATGCTGCAGCTGTCTGCGAGAAGGTTGCTGATGCAATAACTGAATTGAACTTAGGCGATGATGAAATTGAAAAGTACATAGTGTCCGATAATGGAACTAACATGGTAAAAGCACTGAGTGAGCCTTCTGAGAAGACCATGAGTGATGCCAGCTTGCCAGACATTCTAAAAAATAAGAGGTCATGGCAGCATGTGCTTTGTTATAATCATACTCTTCAGCTTGCTATTAGTGACACACGGAAGAAAATCGATTTAAACGCTGTTATTGAAAAGGTATCCAGCATGGTAGCACGATACAACAGGAGTAAAACTTCAAGAGAATCACTCCAGTTTTTCCAGGAAAAACACAAGCTGCCATTGCATGACCTAATCCAGATGGTTAGTACAAGGTGGGATAGTGAGTTCCTCATGCTTGAAAGGTTTGTCGAGCAGAAGGCAGCTATCACTAGTGAGCAGTGTAAAGCAGGTGTCAACAGCCTAACAGCCCAGGAATGGAAGCTGGCAGAAGGATACGTTGAAGTGCTGCGACCAGTAGCCAACTTTACAGCTGAAATGGGAAGCTGCAAGAAACCAACACTCTCCATGGTGCTACCTGTGTTGTTTGAAATAAAGTCAACATTGGAAGACTTCATCAAGAAATCCAAGAAGGGCACTGGGATCATGTTTGCTAAAATTTTGCTGGCAAATATAAAATTAAGATTTCCAGACATACAGTACTTTGAGTCAAAGTTGTACCAAATTGCCATGCTGCTTGACCCCAGGTTCAAGAATGTTCTTGTCAGTGACAATCTACAAGCCGCTGCACTGCTGGAAGACATGGCTCTAGAAAAGTGGAGGCAACATATTAGAAGAGGCATCATTCAATGCACTACTACCAACCAAGAAGCAGCAAACATATCAGCCTTATCTGCATCTAGCCAGAAAAAAACAAAGTGGGGTCACTTTCAAAAGAAAACTGTGATGGTCAAAAATATGGAAATGCCTGATAAAATGGACAGCATAAAAAGAAAGGTACGTATTTCTATACTGTTTTATTAGTACTCAAATGGTTCTTTTCAGTGAAATAAAACAAACAAATATTCTTTTTTAAGGTAGAAGCTTACCTGCAGATACCAACGATTGGGGCGGATGAAGACCCGCTGGCTTGGTGGAGAGTGAACAAAGCAGCCTTTCCACTTCTCGTTCCTCTCGCCCGCCACTACTTGGCCCTTGCTGCAACTGAGACGTCTAGTGAGAGAGTTTTTTCTGTTGGAGGCAATGTAGTTATGCAGAAAAGAACAAATCTACTCTCGCAGCATGTGAGAGAGACTGTTTTCTGTCATGATAACATCCCTGAAAGTTACTTTAAAAAATAGCCTGTAATGAAAGACTGTCCCTGTGTTAGTCTGTAGTGTCTGTACTCACTAGTCTATTCCTACTAATTACTTGTTTTTGGAGAACTTTATAATGCTCAAATATTTTTTTGATTGTGATAAATGTCAAATGTTACTTTTGTTTTACTTTAATTGATTCTATTCATTAAAATTTAAACCTCAGTTGAGTGCCATTTGTGCAATATACATATATTTTTTCTTTTATTTTGATGTTTCTATGAACAATCTTAGTTTGTTAGCAAAGAGTACAAAACACAGTACAAAACTGTGAGATTATAATAATGTTTCAATTCAACGTTTGTAGTGTTAGTTTTATCGTATTTTACATTCTCTGTTCTGCTCTAAGCAGTCTTAGTTCTTAGTGTGTTACCAAAGTGTTTACGTCTCTTGAGTTGGAGCCTTGAAAATTATCAGCCAATATTAAGTAATGTGTAGATTTGACGAATAATTCAAGCTACTGCCATTGTGATTTTTCATGCTATTTTTCTCTTTAACTGAATATATATTATATATTAAATATATTATGAATGTAAACTTAAAACCTATGACTCAATTCTGTGGCTGTGAAAATGTCTTACTAAGTTACAGTGACTTAATATTGTAGTACACACTGTCCCCTAAAAGGCTTTGGCCTTTCTGTATTTGTTACTTTTAATAAAGTATAATTTTTAATTTTAATATATGCATAAATGGATAAATGCTTTTCATTTCACTAATACATTTCTCATTTGACGCTAAGGGATCACATATCACAATTAGTTCTCTACAATTCTGCTGTTGTAACGGAATTTTACATAGGCTCGCATGAAGACTCCATTTTGCATTTTGTATTAAGTATTTGAATATAATGAATATGTACTGTCAGTTATAGTTATACCTACCAATACTATGTCGTGATTTGTGGATTATCTTGCTGGACTCTTGGTGCAGACGGAGTAAGTTGCACATTGCACAGTTGGTCGTTACGAGACTTCAGACTTCGTTAATTTTGATTCACTTATTCGATGTTTCAAATGCTTATGTCACATTCCTGGCTTGCAGGATTTCTACGCGTTGATTCGATTCGAATTCGAAATATGGGTGATTCGATTCGATTCGATTCGGCGATATTTTTGTCAATTCGATTCGATTCGATTCGAATTTTTTTTTGCAAATTCGATTCGATTCGATTCGAATTAGAAAACCTTAATTCGCACATCTCTACATCACACCTATTATCAATGATGATAGTGATGAAGATTAGTCCATCCATATGACTATAAATAGTGTAAATAATGGTATGAATGTGATTATGTGAACGAAGTGTATGTGTATTTTATTATTTTAAGTGTATGTGTACGTGTGTATGTGTACTTTATTAATAAACATTTGATTTAATACGATAATAGTTTATCCTTTCATAATTATTTTAACTTACTTTATTTTATTATTTTTTTAGTACCTGCACTTATTTATTTAATCGATTCCAGAAAGTTACTTGTTGTAGGATTCCATTCCAAGATTCTAAACAAAAATATGGCGATGGTACCAAAAAACTATAATTTTGGAAAAAAATATTTTATTTTTTAA